GAGGTTTCCAAAGTGCTCCTGTTGCTGCTATGAAGCAGCTGCTGGTACTTTCATGCTACTTGTCGGATCACTGCCCTTAACACTCCGCGTGGCCCAGCCCAGGATCTCACACAGGGGGGGCAGGATCGCTGTGCCCCGTTGCTCAGAGGAGGGTGCAGGGAGGAGAAGCGTTTTGCCCCACACCGGGAGTCACGAGAAGTTTGGCATCCTGACTCCCACTCCCTTGAATCAACTAGTTCCACCCCTACTGCAAGTTCCAGTTCACACCCCCTTCCCCCCGCGCCCCCATTCCGGTGTCAGCCCTTTAAATCTGCACGGGCCCTGCAAACTCTCCGAATGCACATGCAACGGCAACAAGCCACACAAGGGCTGGGGTTCTTCCAGCTGCAGGCCTGGAGAGCCTGTACTGGGGGTTCTGGAGAGGTGTCCAAGGCACTGCAGCAGCATTCAATGCTGGGGGAAGATGGGATATCGCATGGGGCACAGCCGGGCAACCTTACCCCTCGAGGAACATGCCCCTGCCCTGACCTGAAAGGGTGCCCCCAGCCTGTCTCTGCCGCTTGTTCTGTCCTCAGCCTGCTGGCAACAAAGTGCAGCAGATACTGCCCATCAAGGACCGGACCAGGACCCATCCGATCACTCTGCTCAAGCCACTGAATGGCTGCGAGACAGTAATGGCTCTGAACTGGGGAAAGGCTCCCTATCCGGTTCCTAGCCCTTGCACTGCTTTGGGTGACCGACTAGCCACGACGTGCAGAGGTGCAGCTCCGATGGCTCGGGGGCTGGCAGTGGGGTTTCACACGGGCTCATGGGAGCAGAATGCGTCCTGGGAAACCCTGAATCACAAGGCGAGTTCATGAGGCTGTGCCTTGATTATCTACATTTAGCTTGCCTGGGAGCAAGACGGGATGTAAACTTGGCCAGGCCAAAGGGACAGGACTTCACAGACCCGGCTAACTGTCTCTATGGAGCCCAGAGCGTGGGCTGGATAACAGAATACCCGGACACAACCTGGGGAGGAGATCGTCTCTCAGCTGAGTGCTGACCCGGGGACGGGGCAAGCCGGCCCAGTGGGAACTGCTGAGCTCTGGCTGATGGGAGAGGAGGCAGCTGTGAATGGAAGGGGAAAAAATACACAATCATACACAGGCTAACAAAAAAACAACCAGCAAGGAGAGAGGATAAAAAAAGAACAAGTGAGAAAGGCCAAGAGAAACACAAGGCTCCGGCGAAAACTCCATAGAAGGGAAAGCCATGGCCAGCTCCCAATAGACCCGACCAGCCCTGGATGGGAATCAATACAGATTCGCCATGCTCCGGCCCACCACAGCCTCCGCTGCCCACCTGCCACCCCCCACCCCCATGGCCCTCGTGTTGGCTCACACAGCTCCCCTTTCCATGAGCCTGAGGCTGGAAGCTCTTCGGGCCGGGGTTGCTTGCTTTGGCAATCTGGGTAAACAAACAATTGCAGGAGCCCAGCAGGATCATGGCTAGTGCTCTACACCCCCAGAGCACTGGGCTGGCATGAGCCACTCTCCTGGGAAGGGGAGAAACCCCCTGTTTTACAGGTGGGGATAGCAGGCATATGGAGAGGAGAAGCAACTTGCCCCAGGTGGCTGCGTTAGTGGCCTTGGCTCTGACCTCACTCTCAAGGCTTTGCTGGGTGCCTCCAGCCCCAGAAGGGGTCAGAGACACCTCAGGACCATCTGGAAAAGGGGGCGAATGATAAAAAGAAGTTGCCCTTATTCCATTCCACCCCCTTGCCCCATCTCCAGACTGAACTGCTTACCGCTCCTGCCCTATCCAAAATACGAGCCCCCGATTATCTCCGTGCTCTGCCCCCCACTCCAGGAGCCCTGTCTGGGCAGCCCATGCTGTGTATGGCGAGATCTCTGCCCCAAGCCTGGTACGCGCCTGGTATTTGGCAGCCCTGCGCTTGGCTGCCTAGAACTAGGGGAGACGCGTGTGTTGGCTGGGGCAGGGGGCCAGAGCACAGCTCCAACATTTCGGCCCCGTGCATGCCACCAGCTCAGCGCACGCAGCTCAACGCCCTGGTGGCGGCAGCCATGCCCATGCCCACCCTGGCGCTGGAGTTTCAAGGCACCAGGTTTGCAAGGAGGAGGTCGGCAGCAAGAGAAAGATAAAAGAGGAAGCTGCTTCCCTGTCCCCGCAGATTCGTTGTCTGGGTGGCCACGGCAAGACCACCCTGAAAAAGAAAAGCCTAGCCCTGGCACGTTTCCTTTGTACCATCTCTCTCTGCTGACCCCCCCAGCAGCACCAGCAGAAGAGTTCCAGCCCTTCCCCATCATACGAGGGGGATTTGGGGCAGGCAGCGGAATTCAAGGTGCTGCTGCGGCAGACAGGAATCCAAAGCTTGGGAAGTATTTTACAGCACAGCTTCAGGGACGAGGGTCCCGTTTGCCATATGGGAAGAGCCTGCAAATTCTTCTCTCCATCTAACGACAGGGATTCCCCCGCTGCCCTAAACCAGCACGTCTCTTTCTGTGTTTGGGGAAACGGCATCGCGCCCCCTGCCAGCTCCGACGTGTCAGTGACCCTAACAGGAAAGCTCAGGAGGTCACAGTAGCTGGGTAAGAGATCAGTCTATATGGAAGTGATGGGTTGGCTGCCTAAACCTGTGTGTGAAACTCCTGGGTTCTTTGGCACCAGCAATTTGAATCCCAGCAGGACTGGACCGAACCCTCCTTCTGAAGCAGACACCATGCAATTTTGCGTGTGGGGTCTCCTAAACACCCTTCAGAAATAATCACAAGCTTTGTCTAGTCTGCATGGCCATTAAGACCCCCCATCATTTCATAAGAGCACAGGTTAGCTCTCATCTCCTTGGCTAAAGTTTCCTCTCTTATTGTGCTGTATAGCTGCCATACCCCACCCCAGAGGTGGCTGCATGCCAGCAGTGCTGTGTGGAAGCCGTTTGAAATGCACACTTTAAAAGGGACACTGTTAACTGGAATTTTTTTTAAATTGGTTCATTGTTAAGAAATGCATGTATCCTGAGTGGTGGTTTATAACCACTCACAGAGGAGCGGAGGCTAAGGGAGAAAATGATCATACATGTGAAGCAGTGAAAATAACTCTATATAAGGTGGACAAGTAACTGCAAGAATATTGTTCTAGACTGGCATTAAGCGCCTTTATGTGACCAGGTCACTGAAACAATCACAGCCTCCATCCAAAACACAGTCTTGTCACCACCCAAATCAAAGGCACCCAAGGCACATTTGGGCAGAGGGATTTTGCTAGCTATTGTTTCGTGAAAGTTTGTGTCTGGGGAAGAAATAGCAGAAAAGACCAGAGAAGCTGAGATAAAAGACAGCTAGGAAGCACCTGGCACAGTCAGACCAAGCACCGGGAATGTGGCTCTGCGAAAAGCCAAGAGACTGAGCTTTTGGGCAGAGTACAGGAAGGATGAGGGGCTTGGAACTGTGAGCAAAGAAACTGTCTCCTGTTTGATTGTTGCTGTGTTCAGGGAAACAGGACTTTGTCCATTCTTTGCAAATAAACAGAGTTGAATCAAAGATCCCTGACTCGCTCATCAGTTTCTCCTCCTAACTGGAAGACCCAAACCCAAGGTTTTTGGCTACCCACTCAGGCCAAAAGGGCAACACGATTGTTTTTCCTCTCTCTCTGTTAAGCACTGAAGACTTGTCTTCAGATAGAAAGTGTCCTGGCTTAATCTACATCAGTTTGAAAACTGCTCATATTGGTTTCAAACGGGTTCTCTTGGTTGAGCCTGAACCTGTCCCTTTACAGATAAACTACTCTAAATCAGGTTCAAACCGATATGAGCATCCAGAGTCGCACCTGATTAATTCAATCACTATCAAATCACACCTTTTATTAGTCCACTATAGCTCCCTGTTTAAACCAGGCTGGAGTTTTCAGATAGAAACGTGATTCGCAACCCCCCATGTCTCCTTTGGCCCTAGATTAGGGGAGACACATACCACCCCTGAACTCCAGCTGAAACTGGCTCCCGCTAGGCATAGGCAGAAACCCTCCATTTATGAGTTCGGTCCAGTGCCCAAAAGCCAAGAGGCAAGGGCTTCCACTCTCTCGCCCCAGGGTCACTCTGCTCCTAGCCCCTTTCCCCGCCCTCTGGGCCAGACAGCTGCTCTGGGTGCACAATCCCCTTCCTGAGCTTCACTTTACAAGGAGCGCAAAGCTGTGAGGGGCTGGCTCCCCAGCCCCCTAAGCCCTGCTTTGCCCAGATGCCCCTCAAACCAGCTTCGCTCCGGGGGGAGGGGGAAGACCTGGGCGGAATCGGCCCCCACCCTGGAAACTGACCCCAATGGAGCAAAACCGGGCTGCGAGAGGCACTTACCGCTCCACCCAAGCTGTCGCAGGGGAGAGGTCAATTTCCACCCGACCCCCCAACCACCCCGACACAGAGCCGCGCCCTGCGCTGACCCCTCCGGATCAAGGAGCGGTGCGAGGAGGACCTGAATGCACCAGCCTTGTGCTGCAATCCGGGGTGGGGGAGTTGGCAACCCCGGGGCAGGGGGCTGGCTGGGTTCGGATCAGCTTCTCGACACGAGCCCAGCGCACGTGGAAACTCCCAAGCTGAACTGGTCTCAGACACACAGCCCGCCCCCCCCCTCAAACGCCCCCCCCCCGCCCGGGTCCAAGGCACAAAGAGTCGGAGCTAAGCCAGCGGGGCGCAGCATCCTCGCCGCAAACTGCCCCGCGCTCCCCTCTTCACCAACGGGGGGGGGGGGCGGGGGCACCGCACGGCTACCCCCCCCAAAAAAAAACCCCAACCCCCGCACACAAGCCCACCCAGCTCCGCGCACCGCGCCTCGGGAACACAAGCACTGTCCCCCCCCCAGCAAACCTGTCCCCGAAGCCCCGGGGGGGGCACGAGCTCCCGCCCGCCCCCCCCGAACCCCCTCGCCCCGCCGCCGCCGGAGGGTCCGATCTGCCGGCGGGGAGAGGCCGCGGCCCGCAGCCCTGTGGGTGCGCGCCCCGCTCCGGCTCACCTGTGGCGCCCCAGAGCAGGAGCCCGCAGGCGAGCAGCAGCCCCGGGCGCCCCGCCGCCCCGCTCCGAGCCATGTTCCGCAGCCGCAGAGTGAGGAGCGGGCGGCTCGGCGGGTTTGGAGAAGCCCAGGGGCTGACGTCAGGGGGGAGGGAGGAGGGGGCTGGACTGGGAGCTGGTCCAAGCAGGGGCCACCGGCTGCACCGAGCCAGCCCATATCTCCAGCCCCTGCCGCACGCGGCAGCGCCCCTCCTCAATCCCTCCAGCGGGGCTGGGGGCACCACGCGGGGGCGGGGGAGGAGCTGTCCCAGGGAGACAATGACCAGCGCTGGGGGATGGGGGGGTATTTCTGGACCCCTTTAATGACACAAAGGTGCCTGCGCTTTACCAGGGCCCCCGGCCGCTGCTTTCCCTCCAAGCAGGAAAACCAGGCATGGTCCTTCCCCTGCAGTCTCCGCAGCACAGCAGCTGGTTTGCTCTGTCTCTGGGACCCCTTCCCCCCAAGTGAACGGTGGAGTTGTGGCTGCAGATTTGGCTGGGAAGATGCAGGGTTGTCTGTCCAGCCCCCCTAAGCTGGCTTGTGTTCCCAGCCCAGAGGACAGCTCTCCCTTGGCTATTTGCAGACACCTCTTTTATTGTTGCCCTGTCAGTTTTGACTCTGCACCTTAGCCTGCTGCAAATAAACAGATCAGTCTGTCTGGTTGCAACCCCCAGCCCCTAAGCTGCCAGACTGCTGCAGGAACCGGACAGCAGAAGGGCCCATACAGGATGGTTTCCTGCTGAACTTTTGCTAGTCGAGAGGCTTTGGTTTTTGAGATTTTGGGTCGTTTTCTCCTCTCCCATCCTCTGTCCATCTTGTCTACTTAAGCTGCGGGGGTGAGGAATCTTTCTCATGATATGTCTGGGCAGCACCTGCCACAATGGGGCCTGCATCTGCAGTGAAGCTGCTTCAACACAGCCACGATTTGAAACAGTAAACAATCCAAGCAATGAGGCTTCCATTGAGACCATCCTACAGCTGAGCAGATCTCGCTGCTTTCCCTGTTATCCAGCCAGTTTTTCCTAACTTCATCCCACGGCTCCTTAATACTCACCGTGCGCCACCTTAAATCATTCCTCCCCTTCACACGCGGCACTTAGCTGCAGACAGTTATCATGTCTCTGCTATAAGTAAATAACATCAATCCCATGTCTCCAGGTTGTTCTCGAGCCTCATAAATAGCCCTGTAACTGGAAACTTAGAGGAAATGCTTTACTGGGTCTGGAAACAGTCCGTTTTTCAAGTGCTTATAACTCTGTTACTGGGGATTTAATTCCAATTTAGCCTGAAAAATTGCAGCTTGGATGGCTCAGCCGGTTTGGGGTTACAAATGGAGAGGGAAAGTTTGTAGCAGCTGGCTCCTAGGCATCCGAGATGGAAAAAACCCATTGGGGTGCCCTGGTTATCCAGCTGAGCCTAATGTAGGCTTGTTTCTTTAAGATATGTACATCTGATTTTCCACACTGGGGTTCATCCCATCAAGCTGGGACCCTGCTACCATCTAGCAGTGTGAGAAGGGTGGTAGTCATGATCCCCAACAACTTGTTTGCGACCTCCAGGTTAAGAACCCCATTGCCAGTGGTTCGCCCAGTCCGGTTTTAAATGTCCTAAATGTTGGGGCATCTGTAATGACCACCTCCCGCCATGGGTCATCAGCAGGATCCCCAGCACTGTCTCTACCACCAGAGGTAAAGGGCTAGCTGTGGTAGCAGTAGTAGGCTGTTATCCTCTATTGATAGAGGGGATAAGGAACACAAAGCCAGTGTGTTACATTCTGACCTCTTCTCTTGGGGGACTGTCCCACTACCTATTAGACCTCTTTGCTGGGTCATTTCTCCTGATAATCAACCTCTTTCCCCTTTCTTAATCCTTGTTACACCCTAACTCATTCCTCTCCATCACTATCTATCTGTATAACAGGGACGCCTTGAGGTCCCAGATGAAATCCAGACCCCGCTGGGGTAGGCGGAAACCAAATTCTCTTCCCTGTGTTACTGAGACCAACGTTTGGGACTTGAGTGACCCTGGAAGCATTTGATTTAACAATGATATGTTGGCGGTCAGTGGGAAGTTCTTCAAAACCACAGTGCCTTGTCTCTTACCCCTATGGATAGGACTAAACTTAAATGTCCTCCAAAGCTCTTGGCCAATTTCTCTGGACACACGGACATCAGCAGAGATGCACTTGTTTAGATCTGCGAAGTCCATTGGCCCAGATCTTCAGAGATATTTAAGCACTTAACTCCCACTGCCTGACACTGTCCCAGCCATTGGATTGCAGACAGGTTCTTGCCTACTTCAGCGGGGTACCTGGGCATCTGCCTACCAGTTTGATAGGTAGGATCGTGTTGAGAGGCCAGGGTTGAAATTTGCCTCTTGCTGCCTCTCTGGGCATAGAGGAGTCTCTGTGGGCCAGGACAGACGCTACGCAATAACTGTGCATTGGACATGTGCAAAGGGCTGAGTTAGCCCTTGGTCCTTTTTAAAATCAGAAGGAAGGAGTCCAGAATTTATCTGGGGGGAGGGGGGGTGTCAAAGCAGAATCAGATGAGTTTGCTCTTCCGAGGGCCTGTCTGTACACCCAGAGTGATGCAAGATGACATCATAAAGCTCCTGTGTTACATCACAGCATCGTGGTGAAGCTGCCCATCTTTGTCTCCCTGTTAAAGGTGCCCGCCCCTGGGTCGAGGCAGCCTGGAAAGCAACGCCAGATTGGCTGAATCTCTCCTTTTCACGCTCATTCAGCAACACCCGGATTCCAGATTGGAAACGGCCAAGCACAATGGCTCTGTGGAAAGCCCCTTTGGCCCTCGCCCCCTCCCCCACCCGCCCCGCCACCCTCTTCAGCCAAAGCACAAAGCCTCCCATGCAGCTGTTGAATCCTGTGCAGTGCAGCGGCTGTGGGAAAGTTGTTCTTAGGCCTGTACGGGTAGGGAGAATGCGCCTGAGCCCATGTGGCTGGAGGAGCCTTTGATCACTGCCAGAGCTGTGCAAGGCCGTGATTACCCAGCAAAAACTGCCTGTCCCAGGAGCCCCCACAGGGCACGGCTCCCCCAGACTCATGGCTCCCTTGCTCCTGGGCACCACCCTGTCACTTTCTGTGCCCAGCACGTGTTTGACTCGGCTCTCGTAGCTGCAATGTGGCTCCTGTGACAACAAGCCAGGGATCAGTCTGTGGGGAGCTGGGAGATGAAAATGGGCTGAAAGGCTGTTAGCCTCAACCCCAAAGCTGAGGCTGTCCTGCCTTGAACAGCTCCCCCACAGTATGCTCTAGTGGCTAATGAGCCAGGACTCCTGGGGTCCATTCCTGGCTCTGCCACTGCCTGGCCAGGTGACCTTCGGCAAGTCACTTCCCTGTGCTGTGCCTCAGTTTCCTCATGTGGGAAATGGGGGTCGTAAGGCCTAATCAATGAGATGCTCTGTAATGCACTGCCAGACCCTTGCCTGGATGGTGCGAGAGCAGGGGATGGCACCATGACTACCATGCCCTTAGAAGCTCTTCCCAGTTCCCCCCAGACCTGAAGGGCTCACCCTGGCCCCAAGGACTACACCTGGCTTTACTCAGCAGCTCCTGGATGCAGTAGAAAGCCCCCCCATGCCAGCCCTCAATGCTTGGTGTCTCGGAGCCTTTGCCTCATCTGCCTTTAGCCTCTTCCCTGCTCCATTTGCTTTTCCTAACACTGCGACTGGGATTCATACCCCACCTGCAAGGCTTCCGTTGGCCTTCCTCTCTGCAGCTGCAAAGATACATATCAGCATCTCTCTGAAAGAGGGAGGAGGGGCAGAGGAGAGAGAAGGAGAAAGGTTCCAATGGATAAGGGGGGCGGGGAATGGAGGTAAAGGATCCACACTTGCATCTGAAAAGGAGGTGGTAAAAGGCCAAAAAAACCAAACAAACCAAGAGTTGTCCAGCAGTGAGAGCTGGAGGGTTGGGGTTCAGGACTCCTGGGTCCTCTTTGCAGGTCTCAGACATGGCCTGTTTGATGATGAGAGCTAAATCCATAGTCCAGGACTCCTGGGTTCTGCTCTTGGCTTTGAGACTGATTCATTGCATGGCACGAGGCAAATCACTTCCCCTCTGTCTCTTCCCTCTGCCTGTGGCTTTCTCTTCAGCTCTCCTCTTATTCGTTCCCCCTCTCCTTCCTTTCTCTGTGTGTGTGTGTGTCACACAGCAGTCCTTCCCATGCCCTTCTTCTCTGCTTCTAGATGCATTTCTGATCCACTGTCTCTCTATCCTCCCCCTTCCTTTCCAGGACAAATGGGTTTGGATGATTCATCAGAAATGAACAGTTTATTCCAAATGAGATTAGTTGTTTAAAAGGGCATAGTTGGTTGGTTTGCCATATGACTCCAGGTACTGGCTGCTGATAGCAGCTGGAGCCTCGAAAGCAGACCAGGAGCAGGTTAGATTGGACAGAAACAAGTGGAAGGGAATTTATTTGACACCTGGGGGAAGGCAGCTGCAAACTTTACATGTAAGTACTGTTCCAGCCATGCTCTTCAGACACCCTCATAAGGACATACTCAATCAACTGACACAGGAAAACAAGGTGCAGCCAGGTATTTTGATGCAAGCAGGCGGGTGGACGCAGGTACACAAACAAGCATGCACACAAATGTGCCCAGACACACACCTGCATGCAAACACATGGACATGCCCACCACGGAATGCCCCCCCAACACACACACATAAGTATGCCTGCACAAATAAACACTCACCAATATATGTACAAACACACAGACACACAAAATTGCAAACACACAAATGTACATACACACAGAGAAATGCCCTCATAGAAACATGCACACACAAATGCCCCCTACACATCCATGCCATGCAAATATTGCACAACTGGGTGCCCACACACACATCTCCACACACAAAGGAGGTGTCTGAAACAGCCAGTGGATGAGGGCAGTGTTTTGGTCACATCCATCTCCCCCTTCCCAGACAGACAGATGGTGCTTTCCACTGTGCAGACAGACTGGGATTCCAGAAGGCTGATTAGCAGCTCAGTGTGTATTGACCAAGGGCCAGTTGCAGGAGAGATGAAATCATTGCTGCTGGTGGATGGTGGCAGGGCTCTGTTTTGTCTGTGGCTGGAGCCAGAGGGTGT